GATGCCCTTAGTCCCTTGTCTTTGTTGTTTAGTTTTTTTGGCGACAGACTTATCCGTAGTTCTGAACATTTTCTCGATGTCAACAATGAATTATTCTARCAAACCCGCGTGTTCCGGACAATATGTGGATATGGATATTATGATATTTAGATATTTAGACAATTCTCATAATTTTTGCAAAAGACTGTATTTCAAGTATATATTAAATATATCAGAAATTATAGGATATCATCACCAATATTTTTTTCAAGAAGTACTAGCGCTAGGCAATTTCAATAAAATATCAGCGATGTTTTATATATACTTGGAATATGAGTCAAAAAGATTATATTTTCTGCATTTTGCTGTATAAAAATAATAAATAAATAACATATAAATAAGGTTATATTCCTTTTTTCACATTGCATTTGAAAACAATTTTTCCTAATAAAAAAATTAAGACATAGTCCTTATTCACGATAGTCGCCATGATCGACTGCACAGTGCGGTTGGAAAACGACCGAAAGTTACTACAGGTTCTATATTCACCCATCAGGTTGTATCCGCCTCGCCAACCAACTATCAGCGGATCTACCATAAACTTGCGTCAGCATTTTTTTYCAGGTTGCTAAAAACGATAGAAAAATACGCGTGGCGTCGTGCAGCTTGCGCTTTTTTTCGTGCTTAGCACACCTTCCTGAACTGCATCTAGAACTGGATATACGCACGCTTACAATTAACCATTCCTTAAATAACTGGAATTACGCGACCTGCGGCTAAGATCAAAACCATTGATGATTGRCACCAAAAAGCTGTGCAGTTTTATCTTCCTTACCTTTCTCAGTTGTCATAGCAGTAGTTGGCTTCGCAGTTGTCACGACGTAACCTGAAAAATGTTATTTATTTAATATATGGGGTTCCAGCTAGGGTGCTAAAGTGTTTGCCTGGGACGCCTGAACACCCCTAAACTCGCCCTGGAAAAGTATATAATGTTTCACAACATTATTTTAGCCAGGCAAAGTACAAAAATCCTATATTTGTCTCCTCCTTCACCACCCCTCGCCTTATTTTTTCTTAAAATGGTGGGAACTATAGCGGTAAACTAGTGTGAGCTGCGTCGGTGTTTCTAAAGAAACAGTTGTGTAGAAAGATAAATTTAACACCGTAAAAAAGTAGGTGAAATAACTTACTGACGTCTTGGACGTCAATTCTTCGTTAATTCTTCGACAGAGTAAAGGTAAGTCTGTTATTTTTACTTACTTTTATCAGGACCCTCTCGCACATAAAGATCGCTATGGTAACGTGCTGATTCTGTGTTGGTATTGCCTCTACAGACATAATGAGCCTGGTCTCCTGGCTGCAGGTCTTTTATCGTCACTCGGTAGCGACAGTACGAGCAGGGCCTGGAAAGTACAGCTCTGTCCTTCAAGCTTGAAACTTCATCTTAAGACAAGGTACAAATAGTGATTTTGTTTCAAACAATGACATGAATAGTATATGAAAATATCGGGGTCTGTAGGGTCAATATTGAATAATGAATAACGGTTCAAAATTGACTGGGAATAATGAATAATTCAATCAAACTCCTAAGGAATAATGAATAATSAAAAAWATCAAAAATATCATAAAGAATAATGATATCTTTCCAGTGAAAATGAGATTCTTCCAGATGATATGCACTTACTTAGTCTAACTTCTTGCCCGTTTTTGTTAACTTTAAACCAGGTGACATTCAGTGGATAGCCCTCTGCTGGGCATTCCATCATTACGGTATCAGATATGTTTGCTGTGATCTGAGTAACTCCATCCACCATCTTAAGATTAACTAGAAATAGTCACAAGTAAAAAAAATAGAAATAAATGTTATGTACTAGTACATTCATTCGGCGAACTAGAAGTACTTCAAGGCATACTCCAACAAGCCAGCCAGCCAGCCAGCCAGCCAGCCAGCCAGCCAGCCAGCCAACCAGAATCGTACATCGAGTCAAGGATTGGCCAAACAGGTGCATGTATGATAAACGATATTTTTTTGAGCATAGCGAAAATTAAGCAGCCAGCCACCAACTGCAATACACTAAGCAAACACCACCGCCTACAAAAACAACAACAACAACAAACAAATATCGAAATAGCATTTGTATAATGTAGAATAACTTTTCTGATTAAATCAAGATTTTCTTACCATTCAGTATCGTAGAATCCAGCTTGATTACTCTGTCTTTTGCGCTTTTGAAGCTCACTTCAGCTGCACACACGTATTTACCACCATCTCGCGTTGTTGCCTTGGTGATCACAATGGGACKCACGTTAACAGACCCCTGGGAGATCACAGTCGAGTTCTTGACCCACATAACTTTTTTAAGTTGAACATCTTTGTTTCCACTATAAGTAACGTTGCATGTTAGGTTCGCTGTTCCTCCGAACTCTGCTGTTGCAGTTCCTTGTACGAATCCTCTTGGCAAAGAAGACTCTGTAATGAATGAAGAACAGAAAAAAATTATGACGGGACTACTGTTGGCTAGCCTAATGACGTCATGTATGTTTTGCCGAAGTGCATCATGGTGTTGTTGAATTTATTAAAATGGCGGATGTGAAAATAAACATTACGGCGGGATAATTTGAACAATTAAGCGTCATATGAGATGCCTACACGTTAGCGTATGTTAAGAGACCTCTCTTGGAAATGAATAATACTATAATAAATGATAATGAATAATGCTGTTCGAAAAAGAGCCTCTGAAATCCCAGAAACACGAAGGAAAAACCACAAACCAACGACAGTCTCAGTTTGTATTTCATCAATCACATCTCTTGCATCTCGTCGCATTTAGATGAAGAGATGTATTGAAGTATAAACACTAGAGTGTGCAACACCTTTCCACTATTTACAACAAAATAGTGCTAATTAAACAATAGAAAACAATAGAGTTAGCATAATTTAGTAGTATTTAGTGGTATTTATGTTGAGCAGTTTTAGTTTTTGCACTTTAACAGATGGATGGATTCAAGGAAAGGACACACGGAAGGATGGCTGGATGAATGTCGGGAAGAAAAACATTTCTAAGGAGCACATTGATTAGAGCGGATTTCGTACGAAAGGGAAACGGACGGTACTGTACTGTGACCGTAATCGTACTGTAACCAAATTCTAGTGCCCCATTGTTTCACCAAAATTCTGCAGGCCAGGTGCGGTAACTGTGCGGTAACCGTGCGGTAACGGTGTCCCACTCATACGAAATCCGATCTATATCACAGCTCAGTAACGTCACGGAAAACAAACCGCTGACCAATTTACAATAAAAGTGATGCTTCTGAGCATTAAGAACAGCACTTACTTTGTATGACATAAACTATAAACCCAAAATCGTCTTTAGACCCATCAAGTGATGACCAACATTTGTAAGACTTTCCCTGATGGCTACCATCTTCGGGGTAGCGGGCCTTTTCTATATGTAAGGTCGCTGCTTTTATGAACAAACCTTCAAAAGAAAAAAAAGTGACCAAAAATTTATAATTTTGGATCGTCTTTACATAGTTTTAGATAAAGCGGATTTCGTATGACTGTGCAAAAGCACGGATCACAACACGGAACCTCGCCTTCTAGGATTTCAAATGAAAGTAAAGATTTTCCAATGCATCACGGCTACGGCACGGTACGCACACAGCACGAACGTACCGTGTTTTTTTGCACAGTCATACGAAATCCGCTCTATACACCTACTTGCAGAAACGTTGTCATAGAAAATAGAACATTTGAATTTAGTAAAAAGGAATAAATTAAAACAAGACAAAAGAGAGCGTTCGGCTTCAGTGATCTTCCTTTGTCTTTTTAATTTATTCCTTTTTACTAAATACAAATGTCCTATTTTCTATGACAACGTTTCTGCAAGTAGGTGTATACATCTATACATACTATATTTTCACACCAGCTATTTCAAACAAAGTTAAACACTGAATATAGCTCGATCCAAGACCGAGATGCATTGTTGGTCGTTCTATCGACGTTTAAAAGCCGTTTTTCGGTGTCTGTGACTATACAAACTCCTTACAGTCAAGAACTTCAATGGAAAGCAATCAAATACTTAGAATTGTCATTTTGTAACACAGCTGTAACACTGTGGTCTTGGAATGCACTATGGAGTCTACAGTATTCAGTATTCAACGTTTTCTTCTTCCTAAATCTTGCAAAATCTGACCATAAGTAAACCTTTGGGTTGATTTACATGCACGATGCCACTTATCACGCGCGACTGACGTAAACGACAGAAGAATCGTACCGTGTAGAATCATAGGCAACCCAACTATTGCTTGAGAGAAAGAAAAGAACGAATGCACACGCTTTTAATTCATCGGTGCGCGCACTTAGAAAAACTGCGGGTTACTTGTGGTATTACGTCACGATCCAGTGCCTCGCGAAATACAAAGTAGTCTGTCACATTCTCTCAAGCAATAGCTAGGCAGGCTATGGTAGAATGCTCTACAACTAGACGTATTGGAACTACGAATTGTTAGCTTTTGCCACCTATAATTTTTGTCGAAATTGTGTCCCCAATACTCCGCACCCTATGTCGATGTTTGAGTGTTATTCAAAGACGCCCAACTCTAGATGCCACACCTCAGAATCTTTGTCTTATCACCCAAACGTGGAATGCAGAGAGTTCTGTATCGGAACAACTCTTTCTTTCAAGAAGTCGCATAGGCTGCCCAACTATCGATTGAGAAAAGGAAAAGAACGAAAGCGCGCGCTTTTGCAAAATGCGGATTACCTGTCGGCATTGCATCATGCATGATGCAATAAAATATTAATACATATCGTGGCGAAGCCGCGCAGATGAAATCGTCGATCAATCAGCGCTATCGGGTTACCTTTTTTCGTGTCGTGCCAAGTCGAGTTGGTAATATAAGCGGTTTTGTTGGTGTTGATTTCGTCAAACGTCAAGCCATCAGAGCTCTTCCTCTTAAAGGTGACTTTGGTAGGATATTTATTGGGGTC